CAGGCAGAGAAGGACGGGAGTGAGATGCCTCGCTGATAGGAAGATTAAGTTAATATGGAAATGGTGGAACCACAAGATAGAACCACATTGAATTCACTTGGGAGAGATCAGCCCTACAGAGCTGCTGGACCCACAGTAGATCTTGCATGAGCAAGGAATAAACTGCTTGTATGATAAATGACTGAGACCTTGAGACCTTTTGGCCATTAGTTAAAGTCTTAGTGCCTTTGGCACGCAGGAAGAGGACAGCCTTAAGCTGTAAGATGCCTTCAGTACCTCACCCAAAGATATGCTTCTTCCCAGTTTGGGCCATGTCCAGTGACTGCTTAATGCTAGGCCATAAAAGTTGGGCCATCTCTGCTCAACTTGGGACAACTCTGAAGAGCCACTTCCACACTAGGTCTCCCTGCTGTATTGGCTGGAACCATCTTTGAGACTGAATCCAGTTAAATTTTCCCCTTTGCTTTTTTCCTTTTTTTGGTACCAGGGATCAAACTCGGGACCTTGCCTTGCGAGGCAGGTGGCAGAACCAGTGAGCTAAATCCCTGGCCAAATTTTCCCCTTCGCTGAAACCTGCTACCTTCCCCTTCCTTTCTCAGATTCGGATCCTAAACGCACTTAAAAAATAAACATCCTGAGTGCTGAACACTTATAGTCTGCTCCTTGGGAACCCATACTGCAGCACTACTCTAAGTCCCCATGGTGTGGTGGAGCATCCTTTCCTTGAGAAAATGAAGATAGGTTACACTGCTGACATCATAATCCTTTGCATGACTCTTCGGGGATGTGGGGAGATGGAAATGTCCAGATGATAAACTCAGCATCAGGCTTATGGAATTATTGATTCTGTAACCCATGGTGAAAACATGTCTCCTTGAACATCAGAAATTACCAGAACAAGAAACGATTGTCTTGTTCTTGGCATTGATATAGGAGAAATATAACTCCCGACATGCTAGATGTCAGATGTGCTCGGTTTGTGTCCTCTGAAATTAAAGACTGAATTCCAAGGAACAAGGGAGGTCAAGAATAGGAAAGGTTTATTGAGAGAGAGAGCTCCTGAGAGACAGGAGGAGTCCCAAGTGCATTGCCACCAAGGCCCTTTGTCAAGGGTAATTTATACAGCAAAGTCACAATGTGAGTACAATGTGGATCAAATTATAATCAACCAATAGGATTACAAAGAAAGCTGCTTAACTAATATTGACCCAATAGGGAAACAA